TTCCCAGTAACTTACTCTAATTTCCTTTTCCCAGGTGCTTTTAATATTTTAATATCCATATTTTATTTTCCTCTCTGGCTTCTCTGCCTTTGTTGTTGTTTGTTTGCTTGTTTGTGTCTTTGTTTTTTCTGTAGGCATGGGTTAACCACTCTTTACAGGTTCTATGTAGAAATGTCATATATTACTTGTGAAATTTTAAAGGAACAAATAGGTTTGTCTCAGATCACATTTATCATTGTTTTATATCATGTTATATGAAATTTCTGGGTTTTTTTTTAATTTAAAAACATAATACTTGAGATGTAGCAACTGCAGTATATTATTTCCTTCTTACTCCCTTGTAACAAGTATGGTTTTTCCACCTGCCGCCTCTGGTCTTGTCCTGCTGCCGCGCCAGCCCCAAATAATGCACAGAGACTCTGTATTTGATACAATGCTGTTGGCCCTGTTACTTGTTTCTTATCGGCTAGCTCTGCCTTAATTATTAACCCATTTCTGCTGATCTATGTATTTCTCTTACCGGGGAGCCGGCGGCATACTGCTTTCTTCAGATTCTCCATCTTGACTCCTCCTTACTACTTCCTATTTCCTCCTTGTCTCCTAGTCCCTCCTATCTTCCTTTCCTATTGGCCAACAGTGCTTTATTATTAACCAGTATGAGAAACATATACAGAATGACATCTCCCATCACTCCCTAGCTCTTGTTTTTATCTAGTTTCTCAGATAATTTGCACGGTAGTCATAATGATCTGGCCATTCTACCCCTTAATATATTCTGTTTCTAACCAGGAGTGCTGTATTGGAAATGCCCTGCTTGTCCCTGTCAGTAACCAATGTATCTTTTAAAGCCTCCTCTTCAAATCCATGGCCACCACTCATAAGAAGTACTGCCTGGCATTTATCCTTCATTCAAGGTGGTGTGTGGAGCGTGTTTATTGATCAAATTGTTTTCCAGGCACTGTAGGTGGGAATACAAAGCAGAATGGTCTTAGTGTTCCGCAGTAAGTTAAGCAGGGACATGGACTGCTCACCATAACAAAACGATAGCAGCAGCACAAAGCCTTGCGGTACTTTGGGTATTGAAGCAGGAGAGCTGATTCACCTACTCCATGCATTTATTACTTTTTGAGGGGCTAACTGTCCTAGCTTTTGTTTGCTATAGTAAAGTGTCATGGACTGGGTGACTTACAATCAACGAGATTCATTTCTCACAGTTCTGAAAGCTGGCAGCCAGAGCCTGTCTATGGCTTCCTGGTCCTTTACATAATGGAGACACAGACCAAAGTAGCCCTCTGGAGTCCTATTCATAAAGCCCTCACCCACAACCTACATCTCTAAAATCCCCACCCCTACTCCTATCCTATCAAATGAATCATAGCTAATGAATTGTAAAAAAGCACAATACCAGCTTCCCAAACGTGATGACTTAAACCATCCCTTAGACTGTGAGTGGACTCAGGCAGATGGTTCCAGCAGAGGATGCCTTTCAGATGCTGGCTAGACCTTGAGTCATCCCAGACATCTTCCCACATTTCTGTTGCCTACAAAATAGTCTTGCAAAAGCTTCAGAGGAAACTGTTCCCAAGAGGCAGGTGCTGGGATGTAAGGTGCAGCAGGGCCAGGTCAGGAAGAGGACAAACAAGAGCAGAGGGATGGGGGTCAATTTTAGAGCAAAAAAAAAAAAAAAAAAGTGACATTGCTAAAATACTAGTTCTTAAAACTAGTCTGGGGCTGGAGAAATGGCTCAGAGGCTAAGAGCACTGGCTGCTCTTCCAGAGGACCAAAGTTAAATTCTAAATTCTCAGCAACCACATGATGGCTCACAACCATCTGTAATAAGATCTGGTGCCCTCTTCTGGCCTGCAGATATATATATGGAGGCAGAATGTTGTTTACATATTATGTAAATAAAATCTGAAAGGAAGGAAGGAAGGAAGGAAGGAAGGAAGGAAGGAAGAAAGGAAGGAAGGAAGGAAGGAAGGAAGACCCTGTGTCAAAACTAATCTGAACTCCCTTGGTGGTTAGTATGGAATATACAGCATGGAAGGAATATTCCATTATCAAATGTGATTGGAAACTTTTCATCTAAAAACATACAGTATTTATTTACTGGTGATCTCCATAGCTGCCTCTTTTGACTGTCACCTTTCTGAGTGACAAGAGCTGTAGGAATGAATCTCCTATCAAGTGGTGACCAGTTTTGTTAGATAGAAAGATCGAGATGTGTTTCAAGGACTTGGCCGACTCAGTTGCTCAGGGCGAGCTGACAGATTAGAGTCCCAGGAAAGAATTGCCGCTTGCGTGTCAAGTCCACCTGTAGTCCATCTGTCACCTACAGGTCACACTGATCTCATCACATGGACATAGAGTTAGCAGGCATCAACAATGATTCAGTGGTTTTAGCTGAGGAAAGTACAGAGGATAGCGGGCTGGAGCCATCTGGTTGAGACCAGAACCCAAGAGCTTAGAAACAAGCCAGGACAGAAGCGAAGCCGTCATGGACTCAATTCTGTAAAGGTCAAAGGCACCCCCACCCCCACCCCACTCCCCACCCCGATGTCTTCAGCTCTTTGAAGGGCAAAGGACAAGGGTGGCCAGAAGGAAACAGTAAAGAAAGGAGGGGTAAAGCCAGTGGCAAAGCCCAAAATAATGTGCTTGGAAATGAGCGAAGCCTCCCATGAGAGAGGGCTGTCAGTCACTCAGACTTTCCAACCAGAGTGGGAACAGAGTGAACTCATGCAAAACATTCAAAGGAAGACCTTTTAGACTCTGGACCAGCGGTCTGGGGTTTGTGACTGCAGGCACTACTTCTTTCTCCTCCTTTCCCTCCCCGCCTTCGGCATGAGAAGCTTAGAACCCTGTTGGAGGATGGGGGTTGGGAACATTATGTAGCCAACTTGTCTCATTCCCCAGAAGATTTGCTCCCGAACAACAGAGAACAGATCCCAGTGAGGACACAGTGGTGTGAGAACACAGTGGTATTTTCATCCATGACTATTCAGCTCTACTCCGTTCCTGCTCCTTTTAGGGAGAGGAAAATTGCCACTGGTTATTTTGGTCAAAGGCTTTTTAAAACTTCCATGACAAACCGTAAAGCAGGGTTGGCTTCTGGGAAATTGCCCTGTGGTTAATAGCTTTAAATATATTTATATGGTGACATATAGCTTCCTAAATGAGGGTGTTCTGTGTGAGAACCAGGTTTAGAAGTACAAAGCCTCAAATGTTTCCTAACTGGTGTTCTGATCCGTTATGTAAAGAATTACCACCTGAGAGAGCCTAGTTCATGATTTTGTCTTTAGTCACACAAGGAGCAGCCCAGAAGATAGCTTAGGGGGCTGGAATGATTTGGAATGTTTGTGTATTCTTTTTTTGTAGTATTCAAAATTTGTATTTCATGCTCACAAATACTGATTTTAAATATGAATGGCTAATATGTGTAAGAAATGTAATCATATATACCATATTTTATAATAGGGAGGACAGGTGTTTGCGAACTGAGTAGAGTGAAGAATTTTCCCTGTGAGCAATTGTATAAATAGATGTTTATTATATATAATACTGAAGTTCATTATCTCTTCATTTAAATTTCTTATACAGTTTACAATGAGATTCCTATCCATTGCTTAGTGATCACCACAACTTGTGTGAATAGTTGTGACAGGTGCTAGAGGCAGTGACTCACACGTTTAAAAAAACAAACAAAGTTTGCAGTCTATTAGAAGTCAAAGCCTAAACTGTCATTTTTCTGGTAAGAGGTCTGGAGTCCTGTCATGGCCATGGCAAAGCAGAAGCCTGGTGTCTTACAGTGTCAGGAGTTACAAATGAGTTTATGGATAGCAGCATCTCAAAGCCTTTGCAACGTTCCCTAGCTAAGAAACTCTTGCAAAAGGAAGTGAGTACAGGAAAAAGCACAAACTCTGGGTAAAATCTATCTAAAATGGTAATAGAGTACCTAGTGTCTTAATGTCAGTAATATCTTTATTTCACCTCAAATCTGGCATAACTGCTCACATGGGGGAAAAAAAGAGAAAAAAATGGCAAAGCCCAACACCAAATCTTGAAAGATATCCTTCAGGCTTAGGGCTTAAGGTTCCCTTGGGACAATTCCAGGTCACACCTCCCACCTTGGTGTGACTCATTCTCACTGACTCATTTTCAAAAGTGCCCTGGCACCCATCAAAGGTCACTCAGCTCTCATACACCTTTACAATTCTCAATTAAACTTTGGGCCTAGTTTGTCTGATTGAGACTGATTGAAGACAAGTAACAAAGTGGCACACTTCGGAAAACACCCATCTGCAAGCAGCTGCTGGAGGGACTGTTCAATGCCAGCACAGGGGACTAGGGACTTTGTACTACATTTCCATCCTTCTCAGAAGTGTAACTGCATGTGCCAAGTCTTGTTTGAGCCATCCTCAGAGCTCTTTTCTGATTCTTTCTTCAGAATTTTCATAATTGACAACTACTCTATTTTTACATCACAAAGATCACCCCAGTGCCTTGGATAGAGTCAATTGTTGCTGCAGTATTTTGCTCATGTAACAAATGTATTTTTCCTAGGACGAGTAAAGGAAACAATAGTTGAGTTGAATGTCACCAAACAGTGTCACTCACTGCACAGCATGAAGACCAGCTGTCTGGTAGTCAGACCCCTGGAGGACGAAGGCATCGCTGCGGGCTGTGTGCGACTGCTCACTCGATGTATCACACTAAGTGATTACTTCTGTTTCTGTTTAATTATTTTATGTTTACATTTGTACTCTTAGAAAATATTTTCTGAACATTTTAACACACATTTAGCAAAGTTGGTGTGCGTAGACTCTCCCTGAGAGAGCTGGAAGTGGGCTCCAAATCCAGGTCTGACTTGATTCCTGGGAGCTCTGTGGATCCCACACAATCTGTTTGTCCCTTGCCTGCCTGCCTCTAGCGGGTTAGTCGTCTTCACTGCCTCTCAGTCCCTCACCAAGCATCCCTGCAAAGGACCTGGGGCTGTCCTGGCTCTAATCGTCACTGGTGGAGTGATTACTGTCACTGCCTTCACTGCCACTGTCACTGTCACTGTCACTTGCATTGTTGCCCTTACCAGACTTGGGGTCACTCTCATCACTGCTGTCGCTGTCACTGTCCTTGCTGTCACTGCTGTCACTGCTGTCACTGTCACTGCTGTCACTGTCACTGCTGTCACTGTCACTGCTGTCACTGCTGTCCTTGCTGTCACTGCTGTCACTGCTGTCACTGTCACTGCTGTCACTGTCACTGCTGTCACTGTCACTGCTGTCACTGCTGTCCTTGCTGTCACTGCTGTCACTGCTGTCACTGCTGTCACTGCTGTCACTGCTGTCACTGTCACTGCTGTCACTGCTGTCACTGCTGTCACTGCTGTCACTGTCACTGCTGTCACTGTTGTCACTGCTGTCACTGCTGTCACTGCTGTCACTGCTGCCACTGCTGTTACTGTCACTGCTGTCACTGCTGTCACTGCTGTCACTGCTGTCACTGTCACTGCTGTCACTGCTGTCACTGCTGTCACTGTCACTGCTGTCACTGTCACTGCTGTCACTGCTGTCCTTGCTGTCACTGCTGTTGCTGCTGTCACTGCTGTCACTGTCACTGCTGTCACTGTCACTGCTGTCACTGCTGTTGCTGTCACTGTCACTGCTGTCACTGCTGTCACTGTCACTGTCACTGCCATTGCTGTCACTGTCACTGCTGTCACTGCTGTCACTGCTGTCACTGCTGTCACTGTCACTGCTGTCACTGCTGTCACTGCTGTCACTGCTGTCACTGTCACTGCTGTCACTGCTGTCACTGCTGTCACTGCTGTCACTGTCACTGCTGTCACTGTCACTGTCACTGCTGTCACTGCTGTCACTGTCACTGCTGTCACTGTCACTGCTGTCACTGCTGTCACTGCTGTCCTTGCTGTCACTGTCACTGTCACTGTCGCTGTCACTGCTGTCACTGCTGTCACTGCTGTCACTGCTGTCACTGTCACTGCTGTCACTGTCACTGTCACTGTCACTGCTGTCACTGTCACTGCTGTCACTGCTGTCACTGTCACTGCTGTCACTGCTGTCACTGCTGTCACTGCTGTCACTGTCACTGTCACTGCTGTCACTGTCACTGCTGTCCTTGCTGTCACTGTCACTGCTGTCACTGTCCTTGCTGTCACTGCCCTTGCTGTCACTGCTGTCGCTGTCGCTGTCGCTGGTGTTACCATGGTCACTGCTTTGTGAGTCGTCCTTGCCGTCACTCTCCTCACTGTCATCAGCCTCAGATGTGTCCTCGCTCCTGTCACCACCGCCCCCATTTGAGTCACTGGATTCATCAGAGTTGTAAGAGGAGTGATCCTGGCTGCCGCTCTCGTCCTCACTTTCCAAGTTAGACGCGTTGCTGCTGTTGGGATCATCTCCCTGCATGGACTCATCGTCGAAGTCATAGCTGCCATGCGCATCACTGTGGCTACCACTACCTCTGCCACTGTGTCCTGTGTTGCTGTGGGCTTTGGGTGTCTCAGTGGGCCCTGGACGCTTGCCAGACTGTGCCTGCCTTAGGCTATTTCTTTTGTCCACTTGCATTCCCTGGTGTCGGTCGTTCTCTTTATTTTCACTGAGTCTCCCAGAGTCTTTGATGATATCACTTCTGTTGCCCGCGCTGGGACCTTCGGTGTCGATTCCCTTCAGAACAATACAGAGAAGAATAGATAATTAGCGAATATTTGCTGAAAAATCCCATGGTCAGGGAAGAGCTGTCTGGGGAAACAACCTTAGGACACCAGGACTTGGGCTGCCAGCACAATGGTGATTTGTGTAAATGTGCTTAATCTCATACTTGAAAGTGCTGAGTATCAGGGTTCGAATCCTCCAATAAACCATCCAGGATCTTGGATTAAACAGGTGCACAGCAACGAAAGTGTCACACTGAAACTCTTTATTTTGTGTAATGAGTGTAACACAAAACATGATCAAATCATTCGGCTTGACTTCTAGAATTCTGACCAATTTTTCAGAAACTTTAATTGTTCTACACCAAAGTATACAAGGACTCTGGCTTTCTCATTAAAATTCCCAAAGTTGATAAAAATACCCAGACACTTAACTGTGACATTTTTTTATGTTAGTTTGGGGTTTAATTTGTATTTGTCTAGATGGTTCTTGTTTTGCACAGCCATCAGAGCGTGGAGGGGATCATATGAACCGCCATAGAAAAGAATTAGTTTCAAAACCCACCTGGCCCTGGCTCTTCCCCAGAGGACATGCTTTTGATTGGCAGGTGATTACAGCTTCTGTATCTCTATTGTCTTTGTGACTAAGCTTCTGGTTTTCCTGTATTGCTTGGCTACCATTGCCTTCTTCAGTACCATTGTTCTCCTCGCTGCTAGAGGTGTTGTCTCCATCGCATCCATTTGGGAAGCCATCTTTTTCTTTAGAGTCATCATCTTCACTACTGACTGAACTCTGGCCTCTGTTATCATCTCTCCCCTGATGAGACTGGTCTTCCTGGCCCTTACTCTCATCATCGCCCCCCTTTCCATCTCCTGCTTCTGTACCCTCATCGTCGCCGGAGCCCATGTCCTCATCCTCACTTTCCCCATTCCCGCTGGGACTCCCATCAGCATTACCCAAACCAGCATCTTCCTCAGTGCCTGGTGTTCCCTCAACACCCTCATTCCCACTTCCCTCCCCTTCTCTCTGAGGCGTTGTTTCCGGAGTAGCAACCCCATCCCCATGTATTCCAGCCTCATGGCTTGCACTATTCTTGCTTGCAGCTGCTTGAGGTCCGCTTCCCTGGACAAGGGTGGTGTCTGCACTGTGGCTCACATCGCCAGCATCCCCGGTGTCTGTGTCCTGATCGGCGTGTGCATTTACATTACTCCCCTTTGCTTCTGCTTTTCCAGTGATGTTTGCTTGGCCTCTGATATCATTTGCCATGCTGCCCTCTCCTTTTGTGTGTATCTCATCATGACCATATGTTTCCAAATCCTCATTTTCATACACAATGTTCTCCTTTTCACTTGCTAAAATGGGCTGTGAAGAAGGATTCGTCCCTCCCGCACCTATTGACTCAGAGATATTCCCTTCTCTTTTATAAATGTCCTTGGTGTACACTTGTCTTCCTATTTCACCCCCATCTGGGGGCTCACTGTTATCTTTAGTGGTGTTATTGATATGTAACTCATTCTGAAAAAAGAGACATTGTGGATATCATTTTCAAATAACACCAACTGATAGAAAAATAGGTAGAAATTTTAGAGAAGATCATAGAGTAGAGAAGTGGCTTGAAAGTAGAAAATGAAAGGAGTATTTATGTTTTGTTTTGCTTTTGTTCTTGTTTTTACCTGTGAGGGGGTCCCTGAGTGTGCTAGAAAAGGTACATTCACAGATTTTTCAATAATATGCCTTTCTGATGGTGTGATTTGAGGAACCTGTTGAGGAAAAACCATAAATATTACACAGGTTCTTGGTTTATGAAGAAGGAAAGATAAACGCCAAGGTCAGAGCATAATCTGACATGTAGAGAAGAAAAGCAGCCCATTATGGTGCTTATGCAGAATTTCAAGCTGAGCAAATGAGGACTTTTATAACATTGTCATCGGTGTAACTGAGAATTACAAGACCACTTATCTCACATGTATAAAGATGAGACGAATCCTTGTTCTGTTAAACCACTCCTGGCTGTTCAATGTCAGACCAAACCCCTTAAAACAACAGTGAGTGTGGGCGGTTGGAGAAGCAATATCAAGTAGTTGCTACTTAAGATCTGAAGAGTGAGCTTGAAGTGCTTGCAAAAATTCTCAACTACAGAAACAACACTATATCTGGTGATGTGAAATCACGTGAAAGTGGTAGACATGGGGCTGGCTAATAAAACTACAAGTGGGTTGACTTTCTTAATAGTTCTGTGTTTGTACATATCAGTAGGCCCAGATGTTTCCACAATGTACATATAAATAGCACACATGGAACATTTATTTGATCACGCATTGAAAAATCTGACCATTAACTCCTGTTCTAATAGTACCAGCTGTGTCCACATTGAAATGAATCCCCATGGAATGAAGCAGAGGCAGACAGAGCCTCCACAACTTCTGGGCACTGAATTAATATGAATAAAGTTATAAAAGTATGTCATCATCTGATAAGATGTGTTCCAATGGGAAGAAAGGGAGTATGAGTTGGTTCACATGTTTGCCTTGTGTTGAAATTCCAAATGATATCACATAATAGTTTTACAACTCACCTTCTCTATAAAACCTTAAGGAAATATGTACACTTCAATACTGGGCTAAAAGATGAAGTAGGAAGGCTTGCTTAGGAAGATGTACTTACCGGAATGGCCCATGCAGCTGCCCAAATGCAAATATATATAATTATCTTCATTTTCATTATTAATAATAGGCAGTGTCTGTTTAGAACAAAGAATGCCACAAAATTATTCATAAGGTGAAAGATGATAAGGGCAGGAACTCATTATCTCAGTCTTTACATTTGCCCCTTCCCAGGACAAAAGAAGAGCTGTAATGTGAAGAGAATTCCCAGGTTCCAGAATAAACCTGCTATGGTTGTGGAGACATGTCGGGGCTTCAGCATGCTCAACACCACCGTGGCTTCTGACATTTTCTGCCAGTGAGGGCAACAGCCACAGAGGTATGGAGGTCATAGCTGTGGCTTTGGCTCTGTGCTGCTATCCACAGGGTAATAGCTCTCTTCCCTGGGATTAGCTTTAAGCAATGTTAACTACCAAGAGTGGACTTCAAAGATGAAGTACTTGTAATTGCCCACCTGACTAGAGAGTTGGGCTATAAACACTGTAAGAGGAAGAAGTCCATGAACTGAAGGTGCTTGAGTGAGGAGAAAGAACACAGAGTTTGGTTTCAAATTCCCTGAATTCAGATTTTCCCCTGCTATCTGCCATCTGAGCTTGAGTACTTGAAATAGCTTTCTTGGGCTTTTGTTTCCTCGGTCTGGAATAATAACACTGTGCCTCAGAATATCCTAAGGGCTGGCAGAAAGCATCTTTAACTCTCCTTCCACACAGCCAGCAGCTTTTGCAAGCTCCCTGGCAGCACACAGTACTGTTTGGAAGTTGCCTGATAGCCCTGTGTTCCTCTTCACTGCCCAGGGCACTGTCTTCATCAGCATTGCCTTCCCATGCAAAGCACAGACGTGACACCTGCCGATGTGCAGGTGAAGGACTATACATATGGACACAAACAGCACCCCATACTTCCCTGGGCATTCTGTAGTCTCCCACTCAGTGAGGAGACCTCTAAGAGCAAAATCTCTCACCCCTCATACAATGCAAATTCACAAAGACTCACATGCATGGTTTTCATACAATGGAATAGAGGTTATAAAAATATATTTTTTAAAAAATCTACCTGAATCAAAAATTTCGGTTCATATCTTTCTAAAACTTAACTTCTTTGTGTCGTGATTTTGTCACGATAGAAAGGATTGTTTTCTCCTATCTCATGACCTTCCATGAGATTTCAAGATTACAATCTTGCATGTCATTAGATGGCCTTGATTAAATTCAAGGTTAGTAGTGAACTACAATAGAATATGTATTAAGGATTATTGGTACTGCTTCACGAGAGCAAGAACACAGTTCCCGGGCCTCTGCAAAAAGGTGCGAAGAGGAGCTGGCGTTCACTCAGTTATTCTATAGACTGAAATAAGACAGAGCTTGTAGGGAGGAGACCATCTGTCTATGGAGCCAAGCTTAGACTGCCCTTGGCAAGTCCAAACCCAGTTATTCCTCTGCAGAAGCCATCTCCACGGTGACCTGGGGATCCCTGGTCCAGGAAAGGCACCTGTAATAAAGTTCATTAATATAGCCTTGCCTTTTCACTCCAGCACTGCGAGCACTGTGGTATGTGATACTTGCACCTGCTGCCAAAGCATGTCAAAGGGACAAGGCCAACTCATTAGAATTGAGGAGCCTCTTTTAAGTTACCTCATTTGTTGTCACATTAAATGAGGTGGAGTGGTTAGAAAGTTAGTGTGACTATATCAATAAGAAGATGTGGGGGGGGGAGCGCGAGGCCTAATTATCAGAGCCTTGTTAGAATGCTAGAGGTAGACTTTTCATACCTGAGCTATCTTCAAAGAAGTGTGACAACATGCAGCTGACCTGAGAAATCCCAAGCCTGATCAAACCCCAGCATGCAGAGGGAAGCTGGCATGAAGCTCCACCCCTAGCCAGGAACTTCTAGCAACTGATAAGTGCTGGAATTTAAAAAAATAAAAGCTATTTTCTCTAAGAGTGCAGGTCCTGGTAAGGAGCCCATGCTCCAATGGAAGGTGCACATCTGAGAATATTTTTGGCCAGCATAGACTGCTCCTGCTGTTTTTTTATCTGTTCACAAAAAGGGCACAAGTTGGTGAGTAAAGAAGGGAGGTGGGTCTGGGAAAAGTTAGGGAGAAGTGAATATGATCAAAACATATGGCACAAAGTTCTCAAGGAGCTAATAAAAGCATCTTTAAAGATATTTAAAACATGAGGCACCTAATTTCTTATCAAAACCATTTGAAGCGACCACACAGTTTTCAAGCCTCAGCCTCGACTTCTGCCGACCTGCAGCAACATATCTTTCTTTTTCTAACCCTGTCGCCATGAAGTTTGAAGCAGAAAAATTAGTTCGACAGAAATCATTGTGTATTCTGATTTAATTGCTTAAGAGTCTGCTTTTAGAACTTTCATGTCAAATGCCAGGCAATCACTTTCTCAGGCCTTCCGCTGATTTTGAGCCAAGATATAAATTTAAGCTGATACTAATTGACCCCGTCCAGTCAGCAAACATCTGAAGACAGATATCAACCAGATACTGAGCCCTGAAAAAGACACAATTTGTCTCCCTACAGACCTTTAACTGCACACCAGCTAGGCAGACCTTGAGTCGGCAACCAGTGTTAAATCAAATCCCAAAGCCAGCTGTCCTCTCAGGAAGAGCTGGTGTTTGGGCATGACCGTCATCCCTCTCTCAAAGAGGAAGAAGACAGTATATGGTACTTTTTGGTTAAAACCCATCAGTCCTTACATCCTTACATTCCAATGAGGGGACTGAAAAATGCCTTGTACTCAATTTAAAGCTCTCAAATATATTTTCCTGGACAAAAGAAGATAATAATAATAACAATAATAGGGGCCTGAGAGATGGCCCCTGGCTGCTCTTCCAGAGGTCCCGGGTTCAATTCCCAGCAACCATGTGTTAGCTCACAGCCATTCATAATGAGATTTGGTGCCCTCTTCTAACATGCAGGTGAGCAGGTAGACCTGCAGGCAAAACACTGTATGCACAATAAATATTTTTTAAAAGGCAGATATTAAAAAAAATAACAGTGATAAAGCTATAGTGAACAACACATGACACATTCCAGTTGTTGATTTTTAAGATTATTACAATTAGAATATTTGTTTCACCTTAGGTTTTACTGATAAGCAAGAGTATCTCAACAAAAACTTTCTGGGACAAACATCAGTTCTACTCTCCAGGGACTCCTCTGGTGTCTTACCAGATAGGTTCACCATCCCTCCCCACAGAACCAGCTATCTTTTCATAGATATGCTAGACCTGAAGAGTTAGGAGGTAGAAAGCTTTACCCCAAGCCACTCTGGTCTTTGAGGAGAAAGAGCTTTCCACAGGAGTCAATTGGCTTCTACAAAGGGGGTTTCCATCTTACCTTGAAACCCTCCAAGGGGACTTTGAAAATCCAGATTCCTTATCTCCCTTTCCAAGCTGAGAGCGGGCACTGTCCTGGACTTTTGCATGACAATTTTGTACCTGCTGACATTTAAATTCAGTTTGATAATGTTTCCACCAATCACTGTTAGGATCCCTGGTGTGGGGGTTTAAAGTGTCACTGTGCCCCTGAAGCCCTTAATAATGCCCTACTCCCTGGCATGCTGGTGTGTGTTTGTTTGCTGAACCACTTGGTTCCAAAAGGACTTACTTTCACTTAATTAAATAGCTCCTGGAAGGCTGTTTTGCATCTTAAATATAGATAATCAGTGCGATATATCTGAAAAGAGCCACTTAGGCTCTGTCACCCTGCATTTCTCGTCCTGCCAAGGTTGGCAATCTAAGCAAACTCTAGGTTTCTCTGGTAAATACGACTGGCTATTTAGGACCCTATCATTCCTGAGGTACATATTAAAGTTGATGCGCTATAATTCAAGCGACTGTCCTCACGCATGCAACAGTCTTGCCATTGCCTAAGGGATCTTTAAAAACAAAAAACAAAAAAAAAAAAAAAAACTATAAACAGTAACTTCAGGAAACCTTTCTGATCTAATCTAAACAATGGCATAAAGTTTTTTTTAAATCTATTAATTTAGTATTCAAGTGAAATTTTAAAAATATCTGTTCAAAAAGATGAAACATTGCAAGGTATCTATACACAAGGGCAAGTGTGCATACACACATCACAGACTCTGCCCTGCTCCATTGTTTAGAAAAACAGGCTGTACTTCTCAAAAAGAAAACATATGTGCCTGAACTACTTCCTGGAGCCCTGGATGTACATGGCAATTCCTGAACCATTTCTCTAGTTTGTGAGTTCCACATTAGGCAATTGGTGTCTTTCTGTGTACTAGCTTAGGAATGTGCCCATGTGTTTAAGTTCTACTATTGAGAAGTGTAAAATACATAACATCAAACATACCATATCACTATCCAACAACACTATCTCCAGAATTATATACAAAGAGAAATAAGTGTGTGTGTGGTGTGTGGTATGTATATATGTGTATGGGTGTGTGTGTATGTGTGTGTGTGCAATGTGTGGTGTGTGGTATGTATATGTGCATATGTGTATGTGTGTGTACATGTGGTATGTGTGTGTGGTGTATATATGTTTGTGTGAGTGTGTGTATGTGGTGTGTGTGTGTGTGTGTAGAAATTAAGACCTTGGCTAAGAATTCACTTCCCCCTGCTGCCCTCAGGGCAGGCAGCTATAACCCCAGGAAAAGAAAAACAGGCTTACTAAGGCAAGGTGTGACTTTGTTCTCCACAACCTTGGGTGGGGCCCCTTACAAGCGCCCTAAACAGTCCTTGGAACCTGAGATGACTAACCGCTCCCTCCCCTTTCCCCTCCTCCATCTGGTGCCAGGGTATATTAGCTAGCCCCCTGGAGTAAAATAAAATATTAGAAAAAGCCTTCTTACTATCAAGCAAGAGTCCTGAGTTATCAACCTTAAACATATTTATTTCTTTGTCTACCTATCTATCATTTGTTTGTTTGATTGTTGTTTATGCATTTGAGACAGGGTCTCTACACATAGCCTTGGCTATCCTGGAACTCACTATGTCTATCAGGCTGGCCTCAAACTCACAGAAATCCACCTGCCTCTGCCTTCCCAGTGCTGGGATTAAAGGTGTGCACTACCACTGCCTGGCTGAAAATACATTTTTAATTCAACCAAATAAAATGTGATAAATTTAAGAACTTAAATACAGAAAA